CCCCGACAAAACTCAACACAAGAAGAGTCAGAAGATTCTCGGCTTCTTCCGCGGTATCGCCCGGGGAACAGTCAAGACGGCCGTGGGGGCCGACAACCTCCGTGCCAAAGTTGGAAGCCACCACGCCAAGGACCGGCTTGGTGCCGTTCCGCCGTCCGACAAGCTTCCCATTTCCGGCCCTGTGGAGTTTGAGGCGCGGTACGATGGCAAGAAGGGCAATGTTTACTTGTCTACCGCTGCCACTGTGCCCGTTGTTGCTTTTGGCCTCAAGGAGCCCAGCAAGGAGAAGATTGGGGGCGAGGTCAAAGAAGACTTGCACCCGCTCTGGAGCGTGCCTGTGGCTGATATTGTTGAGCTCAAGAAGATTGGGGGTTACGGGTGGAAGGCGAAGCTCGTGGTCGGGTGGAGCTTGGAGCGGGATGTTACCGATGGGTTGGAGATTACTACCCATGATGGGAAGACGTACAAGATTATGGCTGTGCCGTTGCGGGATGAGCTGTTTAATAGGTTGATTGCCATGGGTGGGCAGAAGTGGGAGTCTTGGTAAGGTGGTGTGGTGTAATGCCAATGGCAGGTGTTTGGATTCTGGGTTTTCGAGTCTTTATTGTTTATTTGATTAAAAAGGAGGTGTTACTAACCTAGGCACACTGTTATGAATTAATGATGTTTGTACTATCAACCTGAAGAACGAATTCTTTGCTTTTTGCTGTTGGTCACTTTGCCCAGCATGCATGCTTTTAAGTGTCAAACTGAGTTCCTGTTCAGGTACCATTAAATTCATGGAGCGAAGACACCCACCCCCCTTTGAAGTTGGCTGAAACGTTGATTAGAAGCCAAACATATTTTTATCCTCAACATAACCCCAATCTGTACATAAGTCAGCCAGGTATTTCAGATCAAAGCCCCTACTATCACGAGACTTGCATCCTTTTTCAGAACGAAGAACGCCACGGAAGAAAAAAGCAAGACAGGCTTACCCTTTAAAGCAGGAAGGACACTATTAACCAAACCAGGCGGCCCACACAGGAAAACCGCGCTTTTTCCGTTGTCGGGCGGGAACAGCTTCTGTCGCAACAGTCCCGGAGTCACATAACCCCGTTCCCCCTCCCAATTCTTTTCGTCTGGCTGGCTGAGTACGTGCGTGATTTCTATCTTGCCCTTTGTTTCTCTTTCGAATTTGTCTAATTCGTCTCGGAGTAAAATATCTTTCTGGGAGCGATTCGCGTCGATGACCCTGACTTGGGTCATGTCGTCTGGAGTCATGGCTATTCGTGCCATGAGGGCGTAGCCGGGGGTTATGCCGCTGCCGCCGAGGACGAGGGAGACGCGGTTGAAGTGGTGCGTTGCGGTGGGGGAAAGAGGGGGACCAGAGACGGAAAAAGAGCCGTGGCCGAGGTAAGTAATGTCGCCTGCTGGGCCGCGGATTTCTATCTCTTCGCCTAGGGGCATGCAGTCTAGGAGGTTGGACAGGGCCCCGCCTGGGGAGGAGGGGGTTGGGAAGTAGGTTTTTATTGTTAGGTCAAAGGTTCTGTCTTTGTTTCTATTAGGGCCGGGTAAGGGGGGATGGGGGGTATGTTTCTGGCGGCGGTGGGGGGATTTTGAGTTGGGTTTTAGGGTGAGGGTACTACCAGAGAATGGGGACGGGGTACAAGAAGCGGTTTTGGGCGTGGAAGGGGGAGTTGGGGGGGTTGTGGTGGCCGGGAGGATGGGACGAGTTGGGGTGTAGGGTCGCTGAGTGTACAGTCAGCAATCATGAAGGGGGGAAGAGGGAGGAGAAGGAGAAGAAAGAAAATGGGAAGAAGAAATACCACAAGCATCTTGTCCTGCAGGTGGAAGCCCAGCTGGATGTGCTGGCAGGTTCCCCCGAGACCGAGGTCTTGCTTCCCGTCTGGCAAGGCAAAGGTGTACCGACGAGTGTCCGGTGTGAGCTGGGTGCGTTTGATCAACTTCACGGGAACCCAGCGGTGTTGTTCAAGAGCTCCAGAGGAGGCATCAGACTTTGCCTTGGCCACGGCATTGGCGTTTTGCTTGATGAAGTCTGCCGTCTTTTGCGTGACTTTGCCGAGGATGCATTCTTTCCCTCCCTGTTAGCTGTATCCATAACCAAGAAAGGAGACAACCATACCATGTAGTTTCTTCCAGGCAAAATCATCATGGATACTCCGAAAGTGATCCGTCGTCTCCTGATGGCATTTCCCGGCGTGTGCCAGAATCGCCGGTTTACCCCCCGGATGCCAGTTCAGGACACTGGTGGCATCGTACACCTTGTAGTCCACCACGATCCAGCAATCACCCTCCTTGTCGTGTTTCTCAATTTCTTCCCGTGTGAACTCCTTTTGGGGAGCACCCCCTGTCTGCTTTGCTTCGGCAACTCTCACCTGTTCGGAAGGCTGCATCCAGCCCCCTGTTGCCGAACCAGCCTCAGTTGGGTGCCGGAACATCACCGCCGGGTTTCCGTCCTTGGAGTCAGTGATGATCTCCGGCTTGATGGTATACCAAGAGTTGTTCATCATGCCCATCAGATTCCACCGGATTCCCTGCGGCTGGATGTTCTTGGCCGAATCCAAACATCGTACCATGATCCCCTTTCCCGCCCCAGCCAAGCCCGCAAGATTTACGTCAACGTGCCAGAAGATCCAGGTCCAGAATTTATTCCCGTGCCTAATCGGAAATTCTGGGAATCTTGTGGTTGCAAATAACCAGTTATCTCCCCCATCCAAACTCACCTCAACATGCTGAATCTCGTGTCCACCCCCATTGTACGCATACCCCTCGATCCGGTACTTTTCTTTCGCTTTATCCCCCCCGAGAGAAATCACCTCCCCCTGTGCAGGCTTTGCTATGACGGAGTTCATATTCTGCTCATAACAAGCCGTACTCGGATGCCGAAACAGCACCTTGGCGAACTCGCTGTCTTTCGACACTACAAAAGGGGGCATCGCCCTGTTATCCCAGATGTGGTAGAAGCTCTCATTTTCATGATCGCTGATCCAGATCCTTTTCAACCACTTGACACACCGACCACCAATGTATCCCGGGATCATCAACCGGACAGGATACCCGTGGTCGGGCGGTAAAGGGAGGTCGTTCATATACATGGCCAGCAGCACATCGTTGGTCGGATCCATGGCGTACTCAAACGGGATAGAAGTCTCGTACGGCCCTTCACTGGGGGAGTCGGCTCCGGCAAAGTTGACATAATGCTTCTTTGAGGAAGCTCCCAGAGACTCTGGAATCCCTGCGGCGAGGAGGACGTCCCGTAACAGTGGACCTTTCCAGTAGGCGCACCCGACGGAGGCAGCGGCGTTGTTGGCGCCTTTTGTCTTGCGGAGGAGGTTCAGCTCTTTCCGGCGGTTGCCCGTGCAGGCCATGGCTACCGGGATGTTGATCATGTGAAAGCGGTTCTTGAGCGCGTCCATTGTTAGGGAAACAGTCTGCCCGTCGTACTCGATCTCAAGATGGTGGAGTTCCCAGAGAAGACGCGGGACGGCGCCGTGATTGCGGACGTAGTGGATCTCGTTTGGGGTGATCAGCCCGCCCTGGAGAAGGCAATGGACGGAAGGTTCAGCGTTCATGGGGTGGTTGCCGGTTAGGCGGATGAGGTCGGGACATCGGGGAAGCCAGTTGTCGGGGGTGAACTGGTCTTGCTCGTCGATGGAGATGGAGGAGCGGTTGTTTTTCTGCAGGCAGGGCTTTTTGCCGTCACTTTGTTGGAGATGGGAGATGTAGGTGGCTTCTTTTTCAAGAGCTTCCAGCAGGGATCGTTCTTGGGGAGATAAAGACTCTTTCTTGTCTTCTTCGTGGCGTCGCCATGTCTCCTCCTTTTGGCCCTGGCCCGATTCGACCAATACCTCCTGATGAGGGGACTCTTCTCGCCTGCGGGTGTTGATGGGCCATTTTTCCTGGTTCTTGATGAAGTCCTCTCTAGACAATTACACATCAGCCCTCACCCGACTTTCTCTCTTGTATTGAATTGGGGTAAAACTCACGTAGTCTCCAACACATACCGCCACCCCAGTGATCGATTCTCAGGATGCCGGATATGGAATGACGTTTGCTTCTCAATGACATCGCGAAAATTGACAGGATCGCCAGCGTCAATATGATTCTTCAGCTCAGCCCTCTTCTGCCGTGCCTCTTCAATCTCTTTGGCGTGCTCCGGGTCGAGGTCTTCGTGGTCGGGATGGCTGATACCCGCTCGACGGCCCTCTTGGTTCTTGAACCCGATGCTGTGGGAGCTGCGTTTGGTCCATTCGGGCTCGTCGTGGATTTCCTTCTTCGTGGAGCCAGGGTGGTGTCGGACTTTGACTTCCCAGGGAAAGTGGTGAGGCATCCTGACGGACGGTCTCAACGGCAGAGCTTTCTTTGTATTCTTTTCGCAATTGAACATGGGAAAGCACCACATCCTGCAAGACGGGCATGAGAACTGCCACTCCACTGCGAAGCAATTACCTCATCAGAAGAGGGGGCCATTGCGCTCATTTTCATCATGGCATGATGACGTTCTTCATCTGTCATGTTCCTGACATTACGATCAGGGTTCTCTGCGCTGCAATAGTGCATAAGAGCATCACTTCGTGGTATGTAGTCGTGGCGCTGTGCATGGCAACAAGCTGAGCGCTTTCGAGTTCCTTCCCACTCATTTCAATGCCGCATGAATTCTGATAATGCCAACAAAGCGTAACAAATCCAAAGTGTTCATGTTTGCAAGCTGCTCAGTCGATGCAGGACTGTATTAAGTTCCTTTGCAGCTGGAAGTGGTTATCAGGAAAACTCACCAAGAGCGAGGAAACCTGGAACAAAATGAGAAGAAAGACCCGCTGTTTGTGCACCTTGAGTTTTCACATACTAATTTCATCGCTATACATACGTGACCAAACTCAGACTCGGAATAAACCATGGTGTTTATGTCACAACCAAAGATAGGTACGGCACTATCTGCATTATATAATACAATCCGTCAAAGGACAAACATCATACAAACGAGAAGAGTTGTTGTAGGTTCTATAGTGTAGCGGTCATCACATCGGATTCTGATTCCGGGAACCCCGGTTCGATTCCGGGTAGGACCTCATTCTTTTGCGTCTTTTTTTGTCGCTTTTTCACTCTGTTACTCTGTGTGTTCCCTTTGTCTTGTGAGTCTCTTTGTCCCCTTGTATTTGTCGAGATATAATCAACCCCTACCGTCTGTCACCAGCTGGCAGTCAGCACCGTTCCTGCATTGTGATTCGCTTAACCAGGACTCCAGTGGGACTCCAATCTCGATAATCTCGATCAGATGGAAACTTTCTGTCCGTCCTCAATAAATGCCGCGATGACTCATTTATCACAAAGCCACAGGCTCCTCCATATAGATACACTCTTTCCAGCACATTCTTTCAACAATTCAGTTCAAAAGCTGCATGGCGCAGCGGAAGCGCGCCGGGCTCATAACCCGGAGGTCACTCGATCGAAACGAGTTGCAGCTAGTAATCCTTTTTAATTTTCTTTCATTCTTTTTCTCTCGTAGGCTTTTTTTGATTCTTTCCTTTTGAACATGGGACCCAGGTGTTACTCGTGTCCCTGCCATCTGGACTTGTGCTCCTAGGGACGATGGATCGAGATGGCCTCATCTCACCTCGTAGATGTCTCACCAGGTCACATGCATGGACGGACCACCGTTCCTTTGTTTCGTATCGTAAACCTCAAACAATATGACATTCTGTCGTTAATTACCATCCATTAGGAAAGAAAAAAATAATAGCAAAAGATGATTGGTATCCCAACAAAATAGCTACATAAACAAGTCATCTCCTTCCATCCATTTCCCCATCATAGCCCGGTAGACCCATAAGAAAAAACTCCGGCTCTTACTCATCATCCCACATGACCTTCATGGTAACAGGGAACGGCGTCAGCGCGCCCCAGTCCTCGCGGAGGTAATCCACGGACCCGTCGGCTCTCGGCACCGTCTTGAGCACGCCCTGCGGTCCCGGCGCGCGCCGGATGTTCTTGCGACGGAACACCGCTCGGAACATCTCCGTAAGCGCGGCGTGGCTGACCTCCCGACCCAAGAAAGCGTGCAGGCCCGCGCCAAAGTGTATGTACTTGTCCACAGGCCGGCGGGGGTTGACGGTCTCTGGCTCTGGGAAGTGTGTCGGGTCTTTGGAGGCGGCGGACTGTTTCTGTCAGATATTGTTCATACTGAAGAGGAGAGATATAGAGGGAAAACTTACGGCGTTGATAACGACTTTCTGACCCGGAGTGAAGGAGTGGTCACTCAGGCCATCTTCGGTCCGCAGGGACAGGGCAGAAAGGGACTCGAGGTGTGTCCGGGCAGAACCAGAGAGGCGGATACCTTCCAGGACGTAGCCTAAAAGAAGGGCATCGCTTTGCGCGGAAGACGGCTGGGCAGCGATGCTCTGGATCTCGATGAGGTGGGAGGAACCATTGGGAGAGAGGTAGTAATCTACCGCTTGGGCAAACTGGTGCAGCGTCAGTCATAAGAAACTTGTCATCTTGGAGAGAGGAGAAAACTTACCAGCTCACCCTGGCTGGAGGCCAGAGCAGCAGCAGTGGGAATCACATGGCTCCACGCAATGTCCTCGGTGGAGAGCTTGTTCTTCTTGAGTTCCTTGATGAACTCCACACCAAGCGCGCTCAAAGCATCATTTTTCTTGGTCTTGGGGCTCTTGACTGCGCGCTCGACGAGAGTGGCCAGTTGACCACCCACCGTCTTGGCGGCCTCAATGACGGGGAACAGCTTGACAGGCTCCGCGTCGGTGAACAGTGCAAGGGCAATGATGGCAAGAACAGAGTGCAGCTCGTGCTCGGTGTAAATGCCCTTGGGATTCTCCTTTGTTTGGAGAGGAAGACCAAACAGGGCGGAAGCAAAGTGCGTGGGTGCAAGATTGCCGACCTCACGGGCAAGGTCCACGAGTCTGCTTCCAGGGACCAGACTGTAGCTCTTCTCGGTAAGGAGCTGCTCGGTGATCCTCTGATAGAAAGACTTGACATGGTCTACAAAATCACCTGCAAACAGTGTCTGGCTGATTCTGTTGCGGTGTCCGTCGTGGGTGGCGGCGTCTCCAGCCAACTGAGGATGCTTAGCGTGAATCTTGCCAACGCCTGAGTGCCAGAGAGCTTGGAACCTGGTCTTGTCGGCCAAAATGTTCTGAGCGGCCGTGTAGGAAGTCACCTCTGTCGACTTGGAGATTCGAGTTGGGCGGCTCCAGTCAAAGAGGTGTGCGCGCTTCAGATCGGTCAAGATCTGCTTGTTTTCGTCGGGGGTCACCATGGGGTAGTGTGCATAAACGGAGTTGTAGGTGAAGTGATTCGGGAAAGCCCTGAGGAAGAGCTTGTAGAAGACGCAGCCGTGGTTGACGTTGAGATCGTACTGCACTTCGTTGAAGCCCCAGTTGGTGAGGTTACGAGGTGTGTAGTCCGTCGTGTAATGGCGATCACCTCTTACCAAGCAGACGGCATCAGACAACACGACGCGGGAGATGGTGTAAGTGGGCGCAATGCCAACACCGGGAACCATGGGCTCCTTGTGCTCCTCCGCAACGAGACCGGGGTACAACTCCACGAAATCGGGATGGTCGTAGAGCTTGCGCAGCGACTCAGCGACACCAGGATCCTTATTTATGTCCTCGAAAGTCTCGTAAGGCTTCAAGCCGAAGTGCTTCCTGAATTCGTTTAGGCCCGCGACGTTCCACCTGCGCCCCTGAATGATACCGAGGATTTCTACAGCGCGCATAGACTGAGGAACGTTCCGGGCACCAAACGAGCCAGCGGGGTCCTCGATTGCGTCGCTGATGCAGTTCACGAGGTCATCGTCGTTGAACTTGCCGTCCGGCCCGCGCTCAAACTTGTTAAACGGCCGCTTAAGTGGATCCTCGGGCAACATGCCTTCGAACTTGCCGAATCCCATGATCAGCTCATGGATGCTCAGGTCCTTCCCTGGCTTGTTGAACAGGTCGTAGTAGAAGTCCTGAATCCACTTGTCATCCTTCTCCGAAATGCATGAATGCCAGCGGTAGCAGAGGTTGAACTCGGCAGACACGACGTTACCAGTGCCACGCTCCACCCCCTGCTTGGTGTCGACATCAATACCGGTGTCCTGACGAGGGTCCAGGGTCCAGGTCGTATCGACGCGATTCAGCTACAATGAAAGTGTCAGTGGAAAACTCGAGATAAAACGACATAGGGAGACTCACGTTGACAATGTTCCGCACATAATCCAGAAGCGTGATGTTGATGTACAACCCCGAAGTGATGAGACGCGCTGTTTGGAACAAATCGTTGTCGTACTTCTTCCAAGCTGCCTCAGCCTTCTCACCCTCGAGAGAAGGAGACGGTGGCATGAACTTTCCATCCTCATTAATGCGAGCAAGGTTGTCAGCCACGTGGTTATGGACACGATTGAACATGATGAGGAAGACACCGACTCCAGGCGGCATGCCAAGAAGTCGCTTGTCGGCGAAGCAGTCGGGCTTCAGCTTGCCATCCTTGAACGTGCGGATGGTGTCCTGCATGGCCTGGTTACTGCCGTACAATGGCGAGAGATCCAGGTACGAAGATGTCTTGGATTTGGACATGTCCCGATAATCCGTCCAAAACAGGTCTGTCACCGTCACGTTAGCAGTGCCACGTTCTCCGGTTTCACGGCAAACTCGACATACCGTGGATGATTATACTGGCCCAGTACCACAAAATGCTCGAAACATTGTTCGGATGCTTCTTGTACTCTCCATCTCTACGCTTCATCACGGACTCGTAGATCAGCTCCGGGTCAGGCAGGGCACCAGGTCTCAAGACGTTGGCATTAACAGATCTTGAGTATGAGGTCCCCGCCGCTCCCAGCTGAGGAAACATGATGTTCTGCGAATGTGTCAGTTTCCTTTGGAGTTCACTCGAGGGAAAAAGGAGTCACGTACATTGTAGGAGCCATCAGCCTGTCGGTAGTGGAACTTTTCGCCAACATACAGCATAGGTGGATGTTCCAGGCTGTTCCAGAGCTCACCCAGGAAGGTGTTGGTCAACTCAACCCGGAGCTTGGAGTTACTAGGCAGGTTGGACACCAATTGGATGACCTTCTCCATCTGCATGGTCTTGTCATCCATGATCTTCTCACCCTTGATCTTGGACTTGACAGTGTGGATAAGGGCCTTCCAGTCTACAGAATCATTATCTGTCAGTATCGTTCTCAAGCACATGGAAGCAATGCAGCCTTACCAGCAAGCCTGAGATGCTTGATGTCGTCCTTCAGCTTCCCCCATTGTTTGGCCCTGCTGAAGGTGTCGGAGCCATGCTGATTCGGCAATGGCTTGACAGTTGCGTGGATAATTTGGCCATGCTGGAAGCATTCATGTCAGTATTTCCAGTGGGAGGAAGGAAGGAAGCTGAACTGAATTACCCTCTCGAAGGCATTTGCAACTCCTTCTCTGGTGGCACCCGTCGGCTTGAGGTCAAGAGGTGTTGGCTTCGGGTTTGCCTGACCAGAAACTCTCTCCCACTTCTTTGGTGGGGCCGATGAGCTCCCGCTGCTTGAAGAACTGTTTACGGAATCGACGTGGACTCCATGGCCGTTTGAGGCTTTTGCTCCGTTCCCGTTGTTATATGACCCCGACATGTTGAACACAAGATGACAAGAGGAAAGATAAAAGGGGTATAGATAGGGGTACAGGTAAAAAAAAAAAAGGATTTTGGAAGAGATGTTGGAATACGAAGAATTCTTTTCAAGATGCAAGGGAAATACTTTCTGGGTTGGGGGACGTTGCACACTGCACACAGGCCGGATTTATTTGAATCAGAGAGTCTCTCGCGGAGAAACAGCGACTTGGGTGTTCATAATAATCCCAGCCCGCGCGCAATGTGATACCTTGCTGGCTGCAGTTATCCGTTTCCCCAACCCGTCAGGGCCGCTTCACTCAGCCATCTGCTTCCTATGAGGATTGTGATCAGCGAATCGAGGCACCCATGAGAAATGACGTGGAGCTTTCTCAGCTGGGATTCCATATTGAGCCAGCCACTGCACTTGGTAAAAGGTTCGCCAAGCTACTACTGCGACTGCGGAAGAAGGGTAGTTCCC